TTGAATGTCCCTGGATCACCCGAGGTGCAGCGCGGTGTGGTGCTTGCACCAGCCTCCCGGCTCGCAATCACTCGCGGGACAAAGGCACCGTGGTGCAAACTGGGGGGATTGGGGAGCCGGCACGTGGCGACGGGCGCAACGGGGGCTGTCACCAGCACGGGGACGCGTTAGCGGAGCCCGGGGAGAAGCTGCCTGGAGCAAATGCGGGAATGGAGCTCGGGAGGCTGCTCCCGGCGAGCGCTGCGTCACGGCCGGGGAGGCAGCGCCGGGTCGCGTCTCCTTGAAACCACCCGCATCAGCTGAACGTGATGCGGGCGGCGGGCGGCCCTGGCCCTTGCTGAGTCACGGGCGCTGGGTTTCTCTGTGCTTGCTGTTGTCATGGATAATGCTAATAACCGCTCCAGATTTATCTATATTGGAATATATATAAATATATACTGGAATATATGTGTATTTACTGGAACACACACACACATATTCTCTATTTATAAGTGTGTATGTGCACACACTCACATGCACAATTAAAAACCCTCTGGCAATGGGGCAGCCTTTCCCATTGCAGTGTGGGTGTTGCTGGACGCTGCTCGTTAGACGTCGGCTGCCTAATTACCAAGGAGCTCGGTGCCGCGCGGGCGCCCTCCGAGTACCCGAGTGCCGGTGGGCGCCGGGCACGAGGAGGGTGTCCCGCGGGGCCGGGAAATGCCTCGTTAATCCAACGGGGTGTCTGCAGCGTCCAGCACGCTGATTAATGAGCAGCGTTTTGCTTTTTGAAAGGCTGCGTAGTTTTTCTTACGGCCTCTCGAACAACTTTGTATAAAAACTCCAGTTTTTAAATATCAATATTCATTTTTAGAACAAGCACGTAAGATTGATTGTAATAAAGGAGTTCTGTTTATTTCAGTTACGTTTGTTCTCTGAAAGAGAATTGGCTCTCGGGGTTTTAAGGCAGATCATTAAACTCCTGTAGTTACTCAGTACAAACAGCTTCTTTTTAGGCTTTGGGGGAAATGTGACTTATAGCTTAAATCCACTTTGCCAGGATAATACCAAACTTCCTATTTTTAAAGAATATCATATAAATGTTATGGTACAGGAGTTGCAGTACAGGTATGTCTGTAATAGTAGATGAGGTATTTGTGACTTTAATATCCAGGTGGCTCTGGGGATGCTTAGTAATACATAAATCAATAGCGAAATAGATTAAGGGCAGAGTAGTCGTTCCTGCCATTTTGTGCCTGTCGTACAAGTGCAAAGAGCAGAACAGCAGCTAATCCGCTCGTTTCCCCAATCCGGGGATGCTGACCTTTTCCTCTCTCAGTTTATAAATACATGCTCCTGTAATGTGAACTCTGCATGTATTTCTGGAGTCCCAAAGCCTGCAAAGTAGATTATAAAGAGATTTTTTTAATAGATCTGTTTTCTCTTTGTTTGAAAGTTTTTTAATTACATTAAAGCTTCTTAATTACATTAATAGGGGCTAATTCATAACTCTTTACGGTTTAAGGAGAAAGGTGTTTGTGGAATTTGCAGGGCGGCAGCGCGGGAGGAGCGGGGCGCGCGCGACGCGGCCGCGGCGGCGCTGGAACCCGAGCGCGGCCGG